CCTGTCACCCGTACATCTGCCCCCTCCCATCCCCATGGGGACGGTGCAGCCATGTCCCCCCCATCCTTTCACCCCCATGGTGACAACACAGCTGTGTCCCCTCCTCTCCTTGTCCCCACTGTTACATATCCCCTCTTTGCCCTGTTCCCTCTGTGTCCCTTGTCCCTGTGGTGACAGCACAGCTGTGTGTCCCTATAGTCCCATCCCCTTGTCCCCCTGCGATGACATGTGGCCTGGGGGCCTGTGGTGCCACGTGGTGCCATCCCTGCTCCTCTCCCGTGCCAGCTGCGCCGGGGGACAAGCTGGAGAGGGCCAAGGAGCCTGTGCAGGAGGTGAACAGCCAGCAGGACAGTGGCAGTGTGAGTCCCCAGTGTCCCCGGGGGTGTCCCCAGGGCCACCATAGGGGTGTCACAGGCAGAGGAGCAGTTTGTCACCTTTTGTCCCTCCCACAGGCAGAGGAGCTGTCCCCAAAGGCAGTAGGTGGCCAGGTGGCTGGTGAGTCCCCTCCCAGCAGGGTGTGGCTGGGGGTGGTGGCCGCTGTGTCACTCCCCTTCCCCCCCAGTGCTGTCACCATCCCCATCCCTTCCCCCATGTCCCTTTTGGTGACAGATCCGCGGAAAAAAATCCACTTCAAAGTCATCAGGAGCCCTGGTGACCTTCTGCAGTTCATCGAGGAGCTGAGGGAGAGCACCAAGAAGGTGGGTGATGCCCCCCAGGCTGGGGACAGATTCCCCAGGGCAGGGACAAACCGACCCTCCCCAGGGTAGCTCTTCTGTGCCTCAGTTTCCCCATCAACACCAAAGGATCTTCATGAGAACTTTCCCTCCAGGCCAAGGAGAAGGTGAGTGAGGAGGAGGAGGCATCGAAGGCTCCCCCAGCCCCCCCAGCCCTTGAGGAGCCCCCAGTGGGTGAGGGAGAGCGGCAGGGGGGGGAAGAGGAGGAGGAGGAGGAGGATGAGGATGTGGTGGGAGGCTTTGAGAAGGAGCTGGAGTCAGTTCTGCTGCCCCGGGAGCAGATGGCCCAGTTGAAGGATGAGGTGAAGAGCGAAATGGAGAAGGAGTTTGACAACATCATCAACGAGGTGGGCATCAAAGGGGACCCCCTGGATGGGCTGGAGTCCCCCTGGTTGTGTTGGGGACCCCTGTGACCACCCCCACCCCCCCACTGTGCCCCCCAGGTGGAGGACGAGCTGGAGACAGAGGGGCTGAAGGGCGAGGTTGACCGGACGCAGGCACCCAAACCTATGTCA